CACTGACCCAGACTCCGCCATCTCTCTCTCTGGACCTCTGATAGCCTCCTGCCCACAGTCTGTTCTCAACCCCACAGCCAGAGGGAGCTGCTTAAAACCTAAGTGGCTCGGCCATAACCGGTTTGACTCAGTGGATAGAGCATCGGCCTGCAGACTCAAGGGTCCAGGGTCTGATTCCCGTCAGGGGCATGTGCCTTGGTTACGGGCACATCCCCAGTTGGGGGTGTGCAGGAGGCATCTGATCGGTGCTTCTCTCTCGTCGATGTTTCTAACTCTCTATTCCTCTCCCTTCCTATCTGTAAATATATATATATATATATATATATATATATATATATATATATATATATAAAATAAAATCTAAGTGGCTCGACTGGTGGGCTTCAATGGTTGAGCATCAACCAGGAGGTCATGGTTCGATTCCTGGTCAGGGCACATGCCCAGGTTGTGGGCTTGATCCCCGGTCGGGGGCGTGCAGGAGGCAGCCAATCGTTGATTCTCATCATTGATGTTTCTATCTCTTTCTCCCTCTCCTTTCTTCTCTAAGATCCGTAAGAATATATCGAGATACTTTAAAAAGCAATATATCGTTGTAAAAAATTAAATCACATCTGAGTGGGATCATATCTCTCATCCACTTGCACCCTCCCAAGTCCTGAGGGGCCCCAACGCAATCTGCTCTGCTCGGTGCTCCCCTCTGGCCTCCTCTCCAGCCAGGCCCCCACTTCTGCCTCAGGACCTTTGCCCCTGCTGTTCCCTCGCTCACCTGCTTCCCCAGATTCCACACCACCAGCCTCCTTCCCTGGCCTACTTGGAATTTTCCCAGGAAGACGCCACCCACCATCTCCGGGAGGCCTCCCGGCCGCCCGAGTCAGGTTGCCACGCCCCCGCCGCTCTCGCCTCCCAGCCGTGTCTCCTCCATCGCCCCGCCACCGCCCAACGTGCCCTGGTGGTGACTTCATTTACGTCTCTGCCCGCGCCCACCCTCCCTGCCTGGACTAGGACGCAATGAAGTGGGGGGGGGGGGGGGGATATGCATGTCTGTTTTGCTCACAAGACTCCTGGTGTCAACCACCGTTCCTGGCACATAGTAGTTGTTCGACACGTAATCATCGAACGAGTGCCCAGAGCCAAAGCGGAGGATTCTATAACGTGACCCCCATCCTGCAGCCTGCTGGTGGTGGCACCCGATTTAAGCCCGGGCGGGCTTCTCGTTCAGGGTGGGGGTGGGGGAGGCTGGAGGAGGAGAGAGCCACACGGCCTCGGGCACAGGGAGGGGGACTCGGGGACGGGCAGTGGGGAGCGCGCCAGGTCGGAGACCACGTGGCTCCTTTCTCCTCCTCACGTGGCGACTCCAGGAGGTTCTGAGCGAGTCCGTTCCCCTCTGTGAGCCTGGGGTCCCCGTGGCCAGCGAGGGGTCGGGACGGTGCCTGGTGCCCAGGTCCCGGGACTCCAGCCCTGGCTCCTGGATAGGCAGTGGCCTCCGGGCGAGTGTCCGTTTCCTCCTGGCCCGGCGCCGCCTCCTTCCTCCTGTGCCGTCCACGCCTCCGGCAGCGGCAGGACGTTCGGGGCTGGCCGGTGTGTGCCCAGGAGGAAGCAGGAGGCAGGCAGGCAGGGAGCTTTTCAGACGTACCTGGGCATGGGGCACAGGAAGGAAGGCCTGTGCAGGGCGCTCTCCCTGCCCTGCCCCACAGCTCCCCGCTCCGGAGGGCGCTGTGCCCCTTCCCCATCCCCCACCCCACCCCACCCCAGCCAGCACCCCTGGGCGCCCATCTCCCTCTTGCCCTGGCACCAGTTGCACGAGGACAAGCCCAGCTGGCTCCCTGGCCTGGGGACAAAGGCCACCCTGTGCCCGGCCCCGGGCTGGCCTCGCGCAGGGTCACACTGGGCCCTTCTGTCCCCATATGGGGGTGGGGGCAGACACCACAAGGTGACAGGCCATTTTCCTGTCCCCCTCCCCCCCGCGGCTCCCAAATCGGAGGAGCGGACGCTCCCCAGGGAAAAGCGACAGAGGCATCTTGTGTCTTGACCTAAGAAACAACAGACCATTCACTGCCCAGTCTGCCCTGTCACCCCCAAGACCCTGCTGGGCTCAATGCCCCGATTGTCCCCCGCGGAGAGAGGCAGCCACTCTCTGCCCTGGTCACCACCCTGCCACCTGCTCCCCTGTCGCCCTCCGGAAGTCCATCCCTGCCTCTAACCTCCATCGCGCCCGCTGCTGCCGCCACAGCCACTTCCCCTCGGTCTCTCCGCGGGCCGGGGGACCACAGCCGGTCCCCATCCCTCCGCCTTGCCTGCCCCAGTCAGCTGTCCCGGTCCCACCCGCCTCGGCTCCCCGTCCCAACACCCCCAACCCAAGCGGGTGACTCCTTGCTTTTGAGGGAACAGGGGGAGGGTAGGTGCCATTCAGGCCTGGGCCTCCTTTGTTGTGCAGAAGTTGGGGGCCTCCCCCCCCCCCCGTGGCTTTCAATGAGCCCCCCGCCCTCCTACACAGCGAGAGCAAGGATATGAGGGTCCTGGTGGCGGATTGCTGAGCACACACAGCTTTACAGGGGCAGGGGGTCTCCTGTTTTCAGAAGGGGGCGTGGCTGGCCCTCTTGGCAGAGCTCAAACCTCAGGGAGCCCAGTGCCTGGCTCCCCCGACCCCCTGGGTAACGGTGATCGAGTCTGGGGTGTCAGTTGTGCCTGGCAGACATTCCCTTCCCTTCTCGGGGGTCCTCCTGCTCCACTCCATGTGCTCTCCACCCTCAGCTGCTCCCCAGGTCCGAGGATACCCCATTGCGGCCAGGCCGGCAGGCGGGACCCGGGTTCGTCACCCGCTCTTCCTTGGGCCTCGCGCTTCCACCGTGGCTCCTGCCAGATCCCGGGGAGGCTTTTTATTAAGATGCTTTTTCCCGGTGCCATCCTCAGATCCTCAGTTCCAGAACCAGAGTGAGACCCAAGAATCTGAATTTTTTAAAATATATTTTTTATTGTTTTTTTTTTTTTTACAAAGAGTAAGGGAGAGGGATAGAGAGTTAGAAACATCAATGAGAGAGAAACATCGATCAGCTGCCTCCTGCAATATCCCCTACTGGGGATGTTCCCCGCAGCCAAGGTACATGCCCTTGACCGGAATCGAACCTGGGACCTTCCAGTCCGCAGGCTGATGCTCAATCCACTGAGCCAAACCGGTTAGGGCTGGAATCTGAATTTTTTTAAAAAACATATTTTTATTGCATTCCAAGCGGAAGGGAGAGATAGAGAGAAACAGGAACATTAATGTTGAGAGAGAATCGTTGATCAGCTGCCTCCCGCATGCCTGCAACCAGAGCGTGTGCCCTGACCAGGAATCGAACCGTGACCTCCTGGTTCCTAGGTCGACGCTCCACCACCACTGAGCCACGCCGGCCGGACGGGAATCTGAACTTTTTACAAAACCTCCTGGTGATGCCCATGTCCTGCCAGCCTTGTGAACCACTGACCCTTACCATGGAGCCGTCTCCATGCTCCCGTCATGCTGGGCAGTGAGTGATAGGCAGGGTATGCCGAGGCCCCCTGTCACTGGGCCCCTAGGCCCCTCTAGCACAATGCCTGGCACACAGTAGGTACTCAGTCCTCGTTTGTTGAGCAGAACTGAGCGAGACTTCAGGGCCCACTGACCGAGGAAGGCTTAGCTGGCAGTGTGGACCCAAGGCCTGGGTTCTGAGAGGCACAAGCCCGAGGAAGGAAGCTTGGCCATGCCCGGTGTAGTGTTGGGGCTCCGGGGAGTTGGGGGGCCCAACCTTAAGTGCATTTGGGGGCAGCCAGGAATGTTCGGGCCCAGGGAAGGGAGGGACCCTTGGCAGGGTTCTTTCCGGCCGAGGACAGGAGGATGTGATCATTAGGCCAAGCAAACATGTTACTGACCCATAATCCCTTAAACCAGGAGGATTCGGGAGGGGCCTGGTTGCCTTGGCAACTGGGTAGTAGCCAGTGACAGGGCTGAGAGCATCCTCTGGGGATGGGCAGTGTCTGGTGCGTGGGTAAAGCTGGGAGGGGGTGCAGGACCGGCCCCCATGCCTTCCTGGCAGATGTGTGGGTGGGGGGCCCTTGCGAGAGTCCTTGGCCCCGGCCCCACTGCAGCTGAGGGAGCGTGGGCAGCGCAGGATGAGGGGATGGCCGCAGAGGGAGCTTATGAAACGGTGGCGGGAGGAGGGACAGCCCCAGTCTGGCTTTTCCGGGCAGGACACGGAAGGAAGGGTCTTCGGGAGGAAGCAGTGCACAAGTCCCCTCGCTCGGAGGCAAGAGGGCTGAGGAGCTGCAGGGGGAACCCCTCCGGCTGGGGAAAGGGCCCCCAAGAGCCAGCAGAGCGGCCCACCCCTCCCCCGCTGTCCTCTGCAGTAGATGCCCTTCCCACTTGGGGCTCCTCGGGGGGCCTCTCTGAGTTTCCCCTGAGACCTTCAGCGGCTCCTGCCCTTCCCCTTTTCAGCTGCAGAGACGGGGCTGGGCCAGCTCAGGGGCACCCACCTCCTCCCTCACTTCCCGGGACAAGCCAGCCAGAGCCTCCAGGATGAATGGGGTTTGGACCAGACTCTGTCGCGAAGGTGTAAGCCAGGATGATACTTAGTGTGTAGGCATCCGTCCGTGAGGCTGCAGACAGGTCCAAGCTCACACAGAGGTTGGTAAAGAGCTGGTGCCCTCCCTGCCACTCAGCCTTCCCTCCAGACCTCCAGCCGCTAAAAGGTCCCCCTCTGGCCCCGGGAGGCCTCCAGGACCCCCTGGGCCCGTCCTGCTGCCATGATGAGCGGTGCCGCCCGTTCTGCCGGGTCCTCCTGTGCGTGTTTCCTGGGAGCAGGGAAGCCCAGGTCGGCCCCCAGGGAGGAGAGGCCTGGGAGCTGGAGCCGGTGCAGAAGGCTCAGCCCGGCTCCCCGGGCAGGGCCCCAGAGCGTGACGGAGAGACGGAGACACGCCGCTCCCTGTGGCCGCCTTCTCACGCTGGCCCTCCTCCCCGCTGCCTCAGGACCGCTGCCTGCCTGCCCGGCCGATCATGAATAAGATGAAGAACTTCAAGCGCCGCTTCTCCCTGTCCGTGCCCCGCACCGAGACCATCGAGGAGTCCCTGACGGAGTTCGCAGAGCAGTTCAGCCAGCTGCACAGCCGGGACCAGGAGGGTGAGGCCACTCCCCCAACACCCCTCCTGGCCCTGGACCCCGCAGGCCACACCCCACACCGCACACCCCACACCGCACACCCCACACCGCACACCCCACACCCCACACCGCACACCCCACACCCCACACCGCACACCCCACACCCCACACCCCACACCCCACACCCAACATCCCACACCCCACACCCCACACCCCACACCCCACACCCCACACCGGCACTGCTGGCCGTGGGGGAGGACAGAGGGAGGACGGGGACTTCCCCCGGGCAGAGGGGCAGGGAGGGCAGCTGATGCCTCTCCCTCTCAGATCTGCAGCTCGGTCCTCTTGGCAGAGACGCCCCGCCAGAGCCCAGCACCCTCTCCCCCACAGACGGCCTGGAGGAGCCCAGGCCGCCGTCCCCCGGCAGGCAGTACCGGCGGCCGAGCCAGCGCCGCTTCTCCATGGAGGTGAGGGCTCGGGCCGTCCCGTGGGGCCTGGCAGGACGCAGCCGCTCACGCGTGCCCAGGAGGGAGGTGGCCCTGGAGCCAGACCTCACGGGCTCCGATGCCAGCTCGGCCATTGATTAGTGCGGTGACCTTGAGCAAGCTCCTCCGCCTCTGTGCGCTGCAGTCACCTTGTGCTCACATGGGCACCATGAAGATTAGATGAGCTAACGCATGCCAAGCACTTGGGACAGTCCTGGTACATAGCAAGGGTTTGACAACCGAACTATTGTTCTTGTGAGCCAGGGACCCGAGCGTATGAATTACAGTGTCCGCAGGAGCCCCAGTGCACAGGTGGGAACACTGGCCAAGAGGGGTCAGGGCCTCCAGAGGACACATAGCCACCAGGCTGGGTGTTCGTGGAGGCAGTTGGGAGCCTGGGTCGCAGCCAGGGGCGCGGCCCCGCTGAGTTGCTCTACAGGGAAGGCCAGGCCCAGGGTGTGAGGCACGGCTCTCACAGCACCAGCTGCCCTGGAGCAAACACTGCCCACGTCTCATCCCGGCCCCTGCAGGACATCAGCAAGAGGCTCTCCCTGCCCGTGGACATCCGCCTGCCCCAGGAATTCCTGCAGAAGCTGCAGCTGGAGAGCCCAGAGATGCCCAAACCGCTGAGCCGCATGTCCCGCCGAGCGTCCCTGGTGAGTCCCCAGAGCATCCGTCAGAGATAACCAGGGTGGGACACCATCTCCCAAACATGGACACGCACATGGCTCGGCCTGTGCTGAGGCCGCAGCAGTTCCTAGGGATGGCCCTGGGCCTCTGGCGCCACCTGCTGGTCATAGCGGATTCCTACAGACCTACATCCTTGGTCAGCATTCACTCTATGGGTGGGTCCCACCAGGGCTGGTGGTGAGCCTCTGGGCCCCAGGGTCTCCACTGCAGTGACATCAATAGACCAGCCGGTGCCTGCTTTCCAGTCCTGGCTGCTCTCGTATTTCCTTGGGAGCATTTTCCTCAACACCGACTCTGGTTCCCACCCTGGGTACCCACAGAATCAGACTCTGGCCCGGGGTCTGTATTGTGAAGGGTTGGGTATCACTGAGCTGGAGGAAGTGAGCTGACGAGAGAGGCTCCTGGGGTGCAGGGGTGTGAACTGGGCAGTCGAGGTGCCGGGGAGGGAAAGACAGAGTCCCTGCGTGACCTCACACAGACCGAGCTAGACAGGGTGCTCCCAAGGCCTTCCTCCTTTAGCCCAGCGGGAGAGGGGAGAGGAGAAGAGGGAGGGTCTGTGGCCTCCGTTGTTCTCTCTTCCCCATGGGGGTCTTGTTACCTTTCCTCCTGGGGAGGTGGGGTGGGGGAGGGGTGGTGAGGCCTTCAGCTCACAGGACCCCACGTCTCTTCCTCTCAGTCAGACATCGGCTTTGGGAAACTGGAAACGTACGTGAAACTGGACAAACTGGGGGAGGTAAGAGGCTGGGTCTGGCCTTCTCAGGGCAGCCAGCAGGATGGTGAGGAGTGACAGGGTCTTGCCCCGCCCGCCCTGACCTATCCCCTCGCTGCCCCTGCCCACAGGGGCACACGGTCCCGGCTGGGCAGCTGGGCTCAGCCTTTGGCAGGTGCTGAGGGGCGTCTAGGTGCTGGAGGAGGGTGTGAGGATGGAGTGGCCCGTAGGCTCTGGGCAGGATCCAGTGTATTTTTAAACATATATATAATTTTTTTTTAATTGATTTTTTTTTTTTTTTTTACAGAGAGGAAGGGAGAGGGATAGAGAGTTAGAAACATCTATGAGCGAGAAACATAGATCAGCTGCCTCCTGCACACCCCCCACTGGGGATGTGCCCACAACCCAGGTACATACCCTTGCCCGGAATCGAACCTGGGACCTTTCAGTCCGCAGGCTGACGCTCTGTCCACTGAGCTAAACCGGTTAGGGCTCCGGTGTATTTTTTTTCATGCAAGTATTTCTTGTCTGAGTTCGAACCCGAACCTGACCAGGTACCGGCTCTGTGGCCTTGGGCCCGCTCTGCGCCCGCTCTGTGCCTCGGGTTCCTCCTCTGTCAGACGGGGACCTGACTGGCCGCCCGCACAGGCCTGCTGGGGGTTGGCACTCGGTGCCTGGCATGCAGCTAAGGGCTGTCAGCTGCTCCTGAGACCACAGGCTTCATGTGTGAGGCTGCAGGCGGGCGGAGGGGTGCAGAGCGGAGGAAGACAGCCCTTTCCCTGCAGAAACCCAGGGACCTACGCAAACAGCAGCCGCAGGAAGAACACACGGGCGTTAGGATGGAGGGGCCCTGTGCGGTCTGCTGGGGGCTGGGGAGGACAGTCACACTGAGCGGGAGGAGCTGGGGATGCTTCACAGAGAGAAGGAGGGGGAAGGGGACAGGGTGCTCCCACTGGAGTCAGAGCCCCAGCCGGGGCACAAGTCGGGGGGGTGGGGGCTGGGCAGAGGAGAGCAGCACCCGAGCGTTGCCGGGGCCACGGGGTGCTTCTCCCCAGGGCACCTACGCCACCGTCTTCAAAGGGCGCAGCAAGCTGACGGAGAACCTCGTGGCCCTGAAGGAGATCCGGCTGGAGCACGAGGAGGGCGCGCCCTGCACCGCCATCCGAGAGGGTACAGCGCCCCCTGGGGTCCTGAGCCCCGGGGGTCTCCGGGGAGGGGCCTGGGGGGGAGGTGGGTCATTGCAGGAAGAGGGGGCCTGAGCGGCAGGCGGGGTGCTGGGACCCAGGTGGCCTGTCTCCCCAGTGTCTCTGCTGAAGAACCTGAAGCACGCCAACATCGTCACCCTGCACGACCTCATCCACACGGAGCGGTCCCTCACGCTGGTGTTCGAGTACCTGGTGAGCGGGAGCCTCTCCCCTCAGGGCGGGGGCGGGGGCGGGGGCGGGGACGGGGGGAGAGGGGATGTCCCAGGTCTTGTTCTAGAATCAGTTCTCCGATGTTCCAGGCCCAAGGGCAGCTTGGAGCAGGGACCTGTCCCACTCCTGGGCTTCGGCCTACGCGGAGCAGGTGGGGTGGGAGACGGATGGGGGGTGGGGGGCTTCCAGCCGGTGACAGGATGGGGCACGGCTGAGGGGCTGAGCGGCTCTGTCTTCCAGGACAGTGACCTGAAGCAGTACCTAGACCACTGTGGGAACCTCATGAGCATGCACAACGTCAAGGTGAGCGCCTCTGGCAGGGACCCCGCACGCACGCAGGCCCCCTCCACCTCGGCACCCGCCTGTCCTCAAGCCCAGCGTGGGAGCTCCCTCCCCTCCAAGGGCCCTGGCTGGCGAGGCTGCCGAGGCTGGCGAGGCTGCTCAGAGCTTCCGAGGAAGACGGAGGGAGGGGCAGTGCCCTTCAGAGAGGACCAGGCACTGCGCGGAGCGCCTCAGCCCACCTCCCAGACACACCCTCTGCAGCTGTCTTGCTGTTGATATTCTCCTCCCCCCCCCCCCCACCATGAGTGCTCCCGCCTGTCAGCTGGAGCAGGAGTCTCCTGGCAGGATGGGGCAGCTCAGAGGGACGAAGGACCTCCTCTGGTGTCTGTCAGAGAACCAAGCGCATCCCCCCATCTCCCCAAGCTGGGCTTCCCGGCCTAGGACTGTCCGCCTGCCCTCCCCGTGTTCCTGTTCTCTCCCCTCTAGTTGGGTTCCCTGGGGTGCATGGAGCCCAGGGGTGGGTGGTGCAGTGTGGGCAGGAGAGCCAGCCCCTCGCCCTGCCCAGTCCCTGTCGCCATCCGAGGCCCAGCCATGGGACATGCACTCCCTTTCACTGACACACACACACACACACACACACACACACACACACACACACGCGTCTCTCCCCTCCCCCCCAGATCTTCATGTTCCAGCTGCTCCGGGGCCTCGCCTACTGCCACCGCCGCAAGATCCTGCACCGGGACCTGAAGCCCCAGAACCTGCTCATCAACGGGCGGGGGGAGCTGAAGCTGGCGGACTTCGGTGAGGACGGACGGACGGACGGCAGCCGGGGCCGCCGGGAGCGCGACAGCCCCCTCCGGCCGCGGGCGCCCAGGGGAGGAGAGGCTGTGCCCCGTGACACGTGTGTCCCTAGGCCTGGCCCGGGCCAAGTCCGTGCCCACGAAGACCTACTCCAACGAGGTGGTGACGCTGTGGTACAGGCCCCCCGACGTGCTGCTGGGCTCCACGGAGTACTCCACCCCCATCGACATGTGGTGAGTGAGTGTCCCGGGGCCCGGGGTGACGGGGTGACGGGGTGAGGGGGGGCCTTCCACACCCCCAGACCCCCTTCGGCCGCCCCACGTGGTGGCATCCTGGCGGACGGGATGCTCAAGGGTGGAGCCTGCACCACATTGGGGTTCCCGGCCTCTGGGCAGACCCCTCCGAGCGGTGCTTCTGAAATATTTTCCTGGCGTCCCCCAGCCCTCCAGCCCCCCAGTGAAGATGATGATTTGCCCAAGCATCCGTTCTGCTGGACGTTTTAGAAAGAATATATTCCTTTAAACATTGACACGGATCTTATTTGTTGTTGTATGAATTCAAAAGCCAAAATGGAAACACAGGCTTCCGATGCTGGGCGATTGTGCCCAGGGCCTTGGGGGTCTGCAGGGGAACAGGGTGTGGACAGGGTTTGAGGCAACACAGCTTAAGGAACGGTCAGGGGGTGCTGGCCGTGCAGAGCAACCCCTACGGAGGGAAAGGGGCGCAGGCAGCGCGTCCTAGAGCCCGGGACACCCCCATAGAGGCTGTAGTGGGGGCTGGGCCAGCCACCCCAGCGCCAGGAGGTACCTGAGCCCCCCCCCCTGTCCGGGTAGGGCATCGCGGGGGAGCAGCCGTCCCTGACGCGCCCTGCCCGTTGCTCCCCGCAGGGGCGTGGGCTGCATTCACTACGAGATGGCCACGGGGCGGCCCCTCTTCCCCGGCTCCACAGTGAAGGAGGAGCTGCACCTCATCTTCCGACTCCTCGGTCAGTCTCCTGCGCTCCCCCCATGTGACCGCCAGGGGGCGACAGAACTCTGTCCAGCCCAAGCGCACCCAGGGGCCTGCTCCCCGCAGGGCGAGGACCCAGGGCACTTGGCCATTTTCCATCTCCTCCCTTACAGTGCACCCCTCCCTGGCCCCTCACCACGCCCCCCACCCCTTTTGTGTCTCCCTAGGGACCCCCACAGAAGAGACGTGGCCGGGAGTGGTGGACCAGCCTGAGTTCCGTGCCTACAACTTCCCCCGGTACCTCCCCCAGCCGCTCATCAGCCACGTTCCCAGGTAGCCTGCCTCCCCCCCCCCCCTCCTCTCCTGCTTGTGGTCCTGGCTGTCCCTCCTGGGGGTGCCCCCCTCCCACCCCCGTCCCCCAGGCCAGGCCTGTGCCAGCTCCTTCCTCCTGCAGGTTGGACTCCGAAGGCATCCACCTCCTCACCAGCCTCCTCTTGGTGAGTGTGCCCGCCGCGGGGCCAGGCAGGGGCAGCCAGAGGCAGCCGCAGCCCACGACCCCGCCCGGGCCCTGCACCCGCCTCTGTGCTCACCCGCTCACACGTCAGGACTGCCCCTTCCCCGCCACTGTCCACCCCGCCCCACCCCCACCCCCACCCCCACCCTCCGGGCCCCAGAGAAGCACCATTTCCCCGCTGACTCGGAGTGGGCGCGCTCAGAACCAAAAGCCATTTCAGACCCCCTGAGTGGCCGTGCAGCCTGGGCCGGCGGCGGTGGGACGGCTCTGTGCCTGTGTCCGCCAGGCAGAGTGGAACCTGTCGGTCCTCCGTGCAGTGCACGCCAAACCGAGAGGATGGCAGGCACGCACGTAACACGGGGCGCGCCTGGAAGGAAGCGCACTGGGCGGAGAGGGTACTGGTCGGAATGGCATACGCGCTGCCGTTGCTGTGAATGCTGCGATCGCGGTGGCTTTAGCGGCTGCATTCCCATCCGGAGAGGAGGCCACGCTCCCCAAGTCCCGTTCCTGGTTTGTCTGCGGGTGGGACCTGAGCTGAGGCTGCCTTCAGGTGGGCTGAGCGGGGAGCTGGCCGTGGACCCAGGGCCTCTCGGTTTAGACTCGGCCCCCTCTAGCTTAGTCGAGGGGGCATCTAGCTTAGCCCAGGGGGACCGCGTCCCAAAGGGGTCCCCGCAGCCCGCCAGCCCGGCCCCAGCCGGCCCCTGTGCTTTCAGTACGAGTCGAAGAGCCGCCTATCCGCAGAGGCAGCCCTGAGCCACCCCTACTTCCGGTCTCTGGGGGAGCGCGTGCACCAGCTCCCAGACAGTGAGTGGCGGAGGGATGGGGGTGGGGGTGAGGGGCACCCCGGAACCAGGAAAGGGGGCAGCAGGTGTGGGCAGAGGAGCTGTAAGCAAAGGCCAGGGCCCTCGGTCCAGCTGCTCAGCCTGGGCCCAGGGCTTCCCCTCCTTCGGTTCTCATTGGTGAGCCAAGGGTCAGACTGTGGGCCTGAGACTGCCCGAGAGGGTCAGTCCTAACGGAGGGGTTCCCCAGCCAGGGGGCGCTCCCAGCCCCATGCACTCTGGGTGTGGGGCGCAGGGCCGGCTCCACCCAGCTCTCTCCCTGTCCTCCCCTCCAGCCGCCTCCATCTTCTCCCTGAAGGAGATCCAGCTCCAGAAGGACCCAGGCTGCCGGGGCCTGGCCTTCCAGCAGCCAGGTAGGGCCTTGCACCCCTGAACCTCCCCCCACTCCCCGCCCCTTTAGGAGAGGAGGCAGGACAGGCTGCTCCTCCCTCTCAGGGGACAGGGATGGGGCCCCGCAGCCCCTCTGGTGATGGGAAACCAGCATGGCCTCCTGGACGTTGGCCTCCCTTTCGGGGGCCTCTGGGGACAGGGAAGGACTGGTTTCCCTATCTCCAGCCCAGGCTTCCTCCTCTGCTGTCTCCCTCCCCACCCCCACCCCCACCCAGACAGACTGGCTCCTCTCACAGCCCTGAAGGCACACGCTCTGTGCATTCTCAGCACGCTCCGAGCTCTCCAAACTAGCCTGCCCCCTGGAGAGCCGTACTTGGTCTGGGAAACAGAAACAGCTGACAGCACTCCCCATGCATTTTCTCATTTAATCCTGAAAACACCTGCGGTTGGTGCGAGTCCTGCTCCCCGGCCCATGAAACTGAGGCTGTGAAGAGGTTAGGTCTCGACTGCGTGCGGCTCCTAAGCCGCAGAGACAGGATTTGAACCCAGGACTGACTGGCCCCCACGTGCGTGGTGCCCTCGCTCGCTCGCTCTCCCCCCAGTTCTGGAGCATGCACCTCCCTCCGGCCCGGCCTGGCCACCTCACTGCACCCCCTCTTCCCCTCTTCCCCTCTGTGCTCCAGGGCGAGGGAAGGGCCGGCGACAGAGCATCTTCTGAGCTGCGGCCGGAGGGAGAGGGCGCCGGAGCAGCTGCGGGCCAGTGGCTCAGGCGGCCCCAGGAGGACGGAGGACGGAGGATTGAGGGGGCGGCCGGCCCGGAAGACCTTTGGCAGCCCTGGGTCCTGACCCGCTCCCCACGTCTCCCCCGTGGCCGCGGCCCAGACACCAACCCCTCCATCAGCTGCCCGGGGAGGAGGGGAGAGGCGCGGGAGGACCTCGGAGGCTTTTCCGTCCCAAAGCCCAGAGCCCACGCGGACAGGAGGACCCCGCGGCCGGGTGGAGCCTGTGCCCCGGACACGCCTCCCCCCGGCCGGCCTGTCTCACCCGTTGGTAGATCCCCCTTATGGGCCCCTCGTTCCCCTTCTCCCCCTCTGAGAGCAGGAAGCGACGTGGCACCTTTTCCGGGACCTTTGTGAACCAAAGCCCCTGAGGAGCAGGTGCCCCCTCCCCCCAGAACAAGAGGGGAAATAGCAGGCCTTACCCCACTCCATTACCCCCCCCCCCCGTTCCCATTCCCCCTCCTCGCTAGAGGCCCCGTATGCTGCTGGCTGCCCGCTGAGTCCGGAGGCCTGGCACTGCCCCTGGCACTCCTGCGCCTCCGCCCGCCCGGCTCCCTAGTCTGAGGGGCTGATTGCCTTAAGCTGGTGGGCGGGGAGCACACACTGCCCTTGAGCTCCGACCCGCGCTCTGACCTGCCCGGCCTTTCCCGGGAGCCGCTCCTGCTGGTCACCCCCGCGTGCTGATAAGCCAGCCCGGGGCCAGGGCCCTGGGACAGCGCCGAGATAGGCAGGGTCACCCCGGCGCCGGTGCCAGGCTGGCCTTGGCTCCGTGGGCCTGGCACAGCCTCCCCAACCCCCCCCGTGGCCCTGTCCTTGCTCCGCCCGGTCCTGGCACCAGCCACCCCGAAGGGTGGTCATGAGAAGGACAGTCTGAGGCAGAGGATGGCGGGGCAGGCAGCACAGGGGGTGGCGGTGTGAGGGGCCTGGGCCCCAGGAGAAGGCCCTCTCCAGCCCCCCTCCCCCCAGAGTGTGCCCGCTGTGTCCCTGAGGGCACCTCCATGCGTGGCTGAACCTTGAATGCCAAGGCTAAGGGGAGGCTGGCCAGGCCTTGCTCTACCAGCCCCTGCCCCGCCCCGCCCCAGCCTGAGGGGCTGCCCTGGAGGGTCTCCGCCTCCCCTCCCCCACGGTACTGTGAACTGTGAACGGCCTGGGACTCAGCACAGAGACAGACGCCATATTTAATTCATGCGCAGAGAGGAGCCGCAGACTTGCAGAAAAGCTGAGTTGGACAGATGGATGCCAAAGACGGAGGCCTCCTGGGCCTCGGGAGTGGGTGTATGTGTGAGTGTGTGTGTGTGCTTGTGCATAAAGTGGAGAGAGCGTTCGGCTGTGTGTCTCTCTGAACCCCCGGGGCTGTGGGAGGATGGCCTGGGCCCTCCCTGCCCTATTCCCGGCGCCGCCGTGTTCAGGGCCAGGCCGGTGCCTGTGGGCGTGGCGGCCGGCGGCCAGCCCGGGCCCAGGCCGGTGCCCGAGGAGGGGGTCAGCCAGGGAGCCGGGGGCAGGCCCGGGGAGGGCTCTGCAGTTCGGGGTGCTCCCCCAACCCGCCGGCTCCCTGGCTTCCTGGGAGGGAGGACGACTCCAGAGGGCTGGCGGGGAATGGCCCGGCCAGGGAAGCAGAAACGAGGGTCCACGCCTCCGTGACTCTGGGCGCCCTCCGCTGCCCGGTGGCCTCGGGCCTGGGGTCTGTCTACACCCTCTTTCACACACGTTGTCGTCCAAAGCTCCCGGCCTCGTGTCTGTTTTCCAATTCCTAGATCAGGTGTGTTCTCCCCATGACCACTGGGAGACTGTGAGGCCCCCTCAGCCTCGCACCAACCTCCCCTGTCCGGGGGCTCAGCCGCAGGCAAGGACTTTCCAGGGTGCGGGCTGCTTTCCAGGGAGGGAAGCTGATGTGGGAGGTGGGGTGATGTCTCCCGAAGCCCCGGAAGGAAGGAAGGGTGGACGTGGACCAGGGCTTGATTCTCCAGGTCAGCAGCCTGGACCCCCTCACCCTTTAGTAGACAGCCAGCCATCCAACGGCAGGGTGACTGCAGGAGGCGTGTCTCTCTCTCTCTCTCTCTCTCTCTCTCTCTCTCTCTCTCTCTCTCTCTCTCTCTTTCTCTTTTAATATAGTTTATTGATTTTTTACAGAGAGGAAGGGAGAGGGATAGAGAGTTGGAAACATCGATGAGAGAAACATCGATCAGCTGCTGCTTGCACACTCCCTACTGGGGATGTGCCCGCAACCAAGGTACATGCCCTTGACCGGAATTGAACCTGGGACCTTTCAGTCCGCAGGCCAAGGCTCTATCCACTGAGCCAAACCGGTTTCAGCAGGAGGCGTCTCTTGATCTCCGTGTATCCCCACTTTGCGGGGTGACAAGGCTTGTCTGGGGTCACATAGCAAATCAGAATCCCCGGTCTGCCTGCCACCCCAGCCCTTGGCCTCGAGGACAGCTAGGAGAGGAGAAGGGGGTGGGATAGACAGTGCGGAGCCCCAGGAACGAGGGAAGCAGGCAGGGCGCCGGGCAGACGGCAGACGCCGGAGCACCTGGCAGGACCACCATGGAGGCTGGCCTGGCCCCCCCCCCCTCCGGGTCAGAGGCTCCTGCTCTTCTGAGAGTCTTCCCAGGGGCAGGGGCAGCTGGTCCTGGGGCCGCAGCTCCAGGCCTTTTGTGCAGGCTCCTGGGTCTGTGAGCCTCGGCCCCAGAAAGCCTGGGGGTCCCGTGGACAGGCTCACACTCTGTGGTCGGTGGAGAAACGGCCTCTGGGAAGGAAGCTGGCGGGACCACGTGGCAGAATTGCCAGGGCTGGTTCCCTCGTGACCAGACGGCCACAGTCCAGGGCCTGTGGCCTGGCGCCCTCTTTCCTGGGCACCCCGCCACCCTCTCCTGCCTCCCGATGGCTCTTGCAGGCAGCAGCCCGTCCCATCCCGCTGGGCTCTGGGCCAGAGCACCTTCAGGCAGCCGTCTCCCCCTCCGGCCTCCTGCCCTCTGCTCCTGGGACGGGTCAGGAATGCCCAGGGCCTCAACTGGCTGCTCCTTTCCTGTGCCCACAGCTGGGAGCCCTGCAGGGCCTGGCGGAAGGTCCTATTTGCAAGGGTGTCAGTGACGCCAGCTCACGTGCCAGACCCTGCCCTGGAAGATGGGACCTGGGGCTGGCCCCCCTGCCCACCCTTGCCTTCCCGTGGGCTCCCAGTCATCCTGTCCCTACTGTCCGGTCTGGTCTGGGCCCTGCCATCACCACCTTCCTTCTCGAAGCAGCTCGGCCCCTTGGGCCCATCGTGGCCCCGCCCCCTGCTCCCCCTGCTCCCCCACAGCACCCTGTGAGCCCCTCTGTCTCCCGAGAGCGGGCCCTCGGCACCAGGAGCGGGTCATAGCCGGGCCCCATGCAGGACTCCACCCCCGCCGTCCAGAAGCTCAGCCCTGCTGCGGAAATGGCCTTCCTCAGAGCAGGTGCTCATCCAGCGCCCCCTGTGTGCCAGGCACGGTGCTGGGCACCGAGGGTGGGGCAGGAATAAGACCGCGGTGTCACTCTCCTAGAGCTCAGAAAGGCACCGCCCACAGGCAGGCGCGGCCCTTCCAGGGGTCCGATGGGCCGAAGCCGCTGGAGCAGGGCCCGGGAGATGTGACGGCATGGGTCAGAGGGGGAGCCGTGGGGGCCCAAGGACAGCCAATCCCAGCGAAGGCCCTGAGGGAGCGTGTGTGAGGACAAGCAAGGAGGCCCTGAGGCCGGGCACAGAGGCGGGCAGAGCGGCAGGCGGCTGGCTCCTGTCTCCCTCGGACAGTGTTCTGCAGGCCCACTGTGGGGGTGGGGGGCCCAGGAAGCACCCACAGCCGGCTCAGAGATCCTGGCAGCAGGGGGTTTGCAGCTCCCACTGGCCCTGATGGCAGGCCGGGGCGAGAACCGCTCAGGTGGAGCTGTCGGGCAGCGGGGGCTCCAGACTTCTTTCTGAGAAGGGGAGACACTGACCTCTGTTTTGAATGGCGCGGAGAGGCTGACAGATGTCAGCTCCCACGAGGACGGTGCTGGGGGGGAGGGGAGGAGGACACCCTTCAGCCTTGCAGGCACTGGGGGCGGCTTCGGTGGAGAAACGGCCTCTGGGAAGGAAGCTGGCGGGACCACGTGGCAGAATTGCCACGGCTGGTTCCCTGGTGACCAGACGGCCACAGCCCAGGGCCTGTGGCCTGGCGCCCTCTTTCTCGGGCACCCCGCCACCCTCTCCTGCCTCCCGATGGCTCTTACAGGCAGGAGCCCGCCCCATCCTGGATTCCTGGGGACTGAGCAGCCCCCTCACCCTCCTGGCAGCAGGGCTGACAGCAGCCAGTAGGTGCCAGAGGGTTACGTTGGTCATGGTGCCCCCCCACACACACACACTGTGCCCCCTGGCATCACCCAGCCCCCTCCTCTGGACCCTCTGGGCCATCCCACCATCCACCAACTCCGAGGGCAACATTGGGCACCAGAGGCCCTGCTTCCTGCTCCACATGGTGCCCAGCGTCCTTTCTGAGGGTCGGTGCCAGCTTCAGTGACGGTGTGCCAGCTCTCCTCTCACAGGATGGAGGGGGGAGGGCAGCGCTGATGGAACAGCTGATGCCCCCCGCCCTCGGCCCCTGCCTTCCATGCTCATCCACCTTTCCTCCATCCCTCCCACCCTCAGTCTCTTTTTCTACCTTTCTCTCCCTCTTTCCCACCATCACCCCCTTTTCCTGCCCCTGCCTCCCTTCCTCTTCGGAGTGGCCCCAAGCAACCCCTGTTATGGGCGACCCGCGAATGACGACCACCAGTCAGCCACATTGGAATTCAGGAAGCCTTTATTACAAACTCGAGTCCGGGCTCCCGTCTCAACTGACACAGCAGCGAGCAACGAGAGCCCCGACCCAGTCTAAGCACGCTACTTTTACCCCCGTCTTAGGGATGCCTGGCAGATTATGATTGGCTAGAAGTTTTAACAAAGAAACGTCAGTTATAAGTTATAGAAAAATTCCACTAGTACAGCAACGTTTAAAGTTTGTACAACACCTGGGGTGGGGGTTTATTTTCAGCTTAAGCAGTCTCTGTTTGACCTGGTTTGGTCTGTTTGCCCTGCCTTGCGGCTACTGGTCACAAGACATGCCTGCCTGGGGGTTGAGCCTTGGAAAAGAACTAGTTTATGACTAAAAGTTATGCTGCATTCTTTGTTGTGGGTCTGGTTGCTCGTTCCTTCCCTGGCCTGGACTCCTGCCTCGACAGGGTGTTGCTGGCCATCTGGAGCCCTGCCTCCACCGGGTCTTGCCGGCCACAACACCCCGAAACCGGAGATCAAGCCTCTCTCCCTGACCTCTCCTCACGGTCCCCAGGCCTCACATCCCAAGAGTTCTCTTGGGGTCAAGCATCCTTCCCCTCTCCTGATCCCGGTCCAGAGGATCAGAGGAGGGTGGGGACTGGGATGGGCAGGCCATGGAGGCCGTGCCGTGCGGGGTCAAGAGCACAGCTCTAGTGCCAGGCTGCCTCGGCTTGAATCCTGGCTCCACCACCTCCTAGGTATGGGATACATGCCTCAGTTTCCCCTTCTGTAAGTGGAAGTGGTCATAGAATGAGCGTGGGGATTGAGTGAACACATGGGAAGCTTCCAGAATCTACTGGCCTCATAGAAAGCACCACATAGGTGTTGGCTGTTAGGTCACCCGTCCTGGGGTGTCAACTCAAGGCCCGGGGTGCAGTGGCAGCGGCTGTGTGGCCTGGGGTTCAGCGGAAGAGTGGCAGACCTGTGGCCCCGCCTTCCTGGATGCGGCCAGCACCCCCTCCCCCTGCTCGAAGCTTCTAGCCCATTCCTCTTCCCGGACCCCCTGAGCCCTCCTCACTCACTCATCCTTCGCCTGCAGCTTCCCGCATGGGGCGTACGTGGCTCTGCCGTAGACCCTCCCGGCGGAGCTCAGAGCCTCCGGGTCCGGGAGGATGGGGTCTTTGCGTTCTCTCATGAGGTCTCAGTGACGTGGAGGAAAGGAAACTGTCCACTGGCCATTCTTTAACAATTTACTGATTTTTTGGGGAAAAATAATTCAGACACAAACACAAATGCTCTGTGCCATCCTTACCTTCTCCCAGGAGGAGGGTCCGGCTGGGCCTGGGCTCCTGGGAGGAGTCTGGCACATCCAGGCCCCAAAACACGCGGACGTGGATTCGAATCCCAGCTCTTGCCAGCTGTGCCCCCTCGTGCGTGTGACTAACCCTCTCTGTGCGTCGGTGCCCTCCTCTTTAAGATGAAGGTTTCTATGGGGGTGGGGGGCAATGTTAAAATATGTACACAGAAATAATTGAATAAAAAAAAGAAAAAGAAAAAAAGATGAAGGTTTCAACACCCTT